ACGAGAGAGAGAGAGAGAGAGAGAGAGAGAGAGAGAGAGAGAGAGAGAGAGAGAAAGATGGGCCGGGACGGGCTTTGTGTCAGAATGGAGCATCTCCAGATTCTTTAGGAATATTGTACACTTGAATGCACATTAGTATGAGTGGGCTTGTCCCATCAACGGTGTTGCCATGTAAGAAAAATCAAGCTGACCTCGTTATAAATGTGTGTTTATATGTGTGTGTGCATGTGTTTGTGTGTTGTGGGGTGCAGGGCATATACCAGTCTCTTCCACCAGTCTGAGCCGTTGCAGTTCAGTCCTTCTCACAGGTAATACTCCCTCTCGCTCTGGCTCACTCATGGGGCGCTTTTTAGTCCTCTCCCATCCAAAATATAAAATAAAACATATCAAGCCTCCAGATGCCTGGGAGAGGAAGAAGGGTGGAAGGGGATGTGTTTTGTCTCCATCCCTCTCTTACCCTTTTCCTCCTGCTCCCTTGCTTGGCAGGTAAGGGGTTTGAGACCCCTTCCAGTGCACTGCAGAGAGGGTCGGGGCAAAATGCAAACGCCCCACACCGCCTGCTCCAGTCAAAACTATCAAGGATGGACGGAGCTCTCAATTTGAGGCGCTGCTGTTGGAGGAGCTGGAGGTGGAGGCAACGGCCGTGCTGGAGTTACCGGTGGCGGCCACTGACTTGCGTATGTGCGGGAGGAGGTAGGAATCACTGGCCAGCTGATGAACATCGATGCGATCCTCCTTACGGTACACCAAACATCTGCGAATGAAGGCCTGAAGTAGACAAGAAATTAATTAGAAAGTGTTCAGTTTATCATAACATCTTCAAGTAGAAAAGCATCAACAGCCATGCATGGAAGTAGTTTAGCTGAAGGCAGGTTTGTGCGATTAATCTAAAAATCATACAGAATCTACATTTTAAATAAAAGGAGGCAGACAATAAACATTACAGTTCCAGAGACATGAGCAAATATTAGCCAATCTGACTCACTATGCGAATAGTCATTATTATGACAAGTCTCCTAGCAACACAAAACCCCATTAATGACAGAATCCCACAACCTTCCTTGTGCCACTAAAGTGACCACAGCATTTGGTGTTGAGCAAGAGAGAGGACAAACAGAGCAACAGAAGGCAAGAGAAAAACACTGAGCAAGACAGGCATTTTTAAATTTTTCTATCAGAAATACAATTACATTTCACATAATAATCAAAATAATTGACCAATTATTAAAATCAGCTGCAGCCCTAATTATTACTCTGACTGTTTTCCCCTCAATGTTTTTTTTTAAGTCTGTTATGCACATCAAGTCTCCATTTGTTTAAAAATACAGTAAAATCAGTAATATTGTGAAATATTATTACAATTCTAAATAACTAATTTAAATTTCAGTATTTTATAAAAATGTAATTTATTCCTGTGGTGCAAAGCTGAATTTTCAGCATCATTACTCCAGTCTTCAGTGTCACCTGATCCTTCAGAAACATTTCCAATATGCTGATTTGCTGCTCAACAAACATTTCTCATCATCAATGTTAAAAACAGTTGCGCTGTTTAATATTTTTGTGGAAACAGTGATACATAGTTTTTTTTCAGAGTTCTGTTGAAAAAGTTCAAAAGAACAGCATTAATTAACAAAGTTTTTTAGCATTATAAATGTCTCTACTGGTCACTTTTGATCAATTTAATACATCCTCGCTGAATAAAAGCATTTCTTTAAAAAGTATTTATATTTTACTGACCACAAACATCTGTATGGTAGTGTAATTAAAATGTTAGTATTGTAATGTAATTACTAATGCAATGTAGAAACTTTCATTTTCTGTGAAGCTGCTTTGAAACAATATGTATCGTGAAAAGCACTATACAAATAAACTTGAAATGAAACTATTCCAATAAATATGAATAAATGTCAATTTAAAGGGGTCATATGATGCGATTTCAAATGTTCCTTTCTCTTTGGAGTGTTACAAGCTCTTGGTGCATAAAGAAGATCTGTAAAGTTGCAAAGACTAAAGTCTCAAATCCAAAGAGATATTCTTTATAAAAGTTAAGAGTCAGCCACACCTACCTAAAACGGCTCGTTCTAACACACCCCCAACATGTCTGGGAAGATTTGCATAACACCGCCCAAATGTTCACGCAAAGAAAGGCGGCGTAATTTTTATTCTCACTGTAGTACTGTTGCCACCGCTGTGACGCTGTGTTTCGTTGTGAAAGCGAAACTACTTTGTTTGGTCTTCCAAAAGAGGACACGACTAGAAATCAGTGGTTAAGTTGTATTTACAACACTGTTCCAGAACACTTCAACCCAAATGGCTTTGGAAAATAAATCGCTGCATGTTTCAGATGAAAAAATGCAACTTCTATTTCTGAAAATTTCACAGTTAGGAGATTTATAACGAGTGGTTCCCTGCATTATTTCAGCAAAGCGCATGATTACAGTACTAAGCCGCTGCAATGGAGCAGCTCTAATGCTATTAAATTAAAGATGATGTACCATAGAGCAAAAAAATTAACAGTGAAAATGTTATTTTTAGCAACATCATATGACCCCTTTAAACAACTGGGGAGGATTTATAATTTATAGTCAAATGTGGAAGAGAAAAGAAATCTTAAAAGTTCTAACACTCTAGAGATTTGCTCATGGGGCGATGTATAAAAGAGTAATGGGACCCCAGTAACCCTTGTTTCATGATACTTCAACAATCCTGAGACTAAACCCCTCTACTCTGAGATCACACCATGAAAGAAAGAAAGAAAAAAAAAAAAGTGAACCATCTGAATAAGTACCTTAGCCTCAGGTGAGACTCCTGGTTTAGGAGGAAACTGCACCTCTGTGGCTTTGAGAATAGTGTTCTCCTGGAGGATGTCCTGCTGAGATTGATTATGACCGAACGGCTGTGTGGTGAAGAAAAAAGAAAAAAAAAAGATGAGCTGGCCAATCACAGCACACCTCGCTTTTCAGACTGATGAGCTTTGTAAAAATCGATGCGTTTCAGAAAGGTGATGCATAGAGAAGAAACAATGTAGAGTATGTGGAAAATAATGTGTTTTTTTGAATCTTAAACCACAAACACATTTCATTACACCAAATAATGTTATTTTTAGCAACATCATATGACCCCTTTAAACAACTGGGGAGGATTTATAATTTATAGTCAAATGTGGAAGAGAAAAGAAATCTTAAAAGTTCTAACACTCTAGAGATTTGCTCATGGGGCGATGTATAAAAGAGTAATGGGACCCCAGTAACCCTTGTTTCATGATACTTCAACAATCCTGAGACTAAACCCCTCTACTCTGAGATCACACCATGAAAGAAAGAAAGAAAAAAAAAAAAGTGAACCATCTGAATAAGTACCTTAGCCTCAGGTGAGACTCCTGGTTTAGGAGGAAACTGGACCTCTGTGGCTTTGAGAATAGTGTTCTCCTGGAGGATGTCCTGCTGAGATTGATTATGACCGAACGGCTGTGTGGTGAAGAAAAAAGAAAAAAAAAAAGATGAGGAAAGAAAGGTACCAACATCTCAGTGGACAGTGACTACACAGCCACTGTTAGAAAAAGTATGCGTGTACGTGTATCTTTTACCTTCTTCCCATAGAGGCACTGGTAAAAGATGACTCCAACGGACCAAACGTCCACTTTGTTGGAGATCTTAGGTGGCTCTTTTCCAACCACAAAGCATTCTGGGGGAAGATACCTGGAGCACAATAAGGCAAGAGATTTGCGTTTGGGGCTCAGCTGTATGTCCAAACATTCAGACCATAAACTACATAACACTTCCTTAAAACAAGAGTCAGTTTTGTGTTGAGAGAGATTTCAGTTCATTTGATCAAATTCAAGTAGTATAGAAATCCCAGTCGTAGCAGACCACTCACCAGTACGTCCCTGCCCCCTGTGATGTTAGCTCCATGCCGTCTACCCCGTAGTTGTCGTCGTCCATGATCTTGGACAGCCCGAAGTCTGTGATTTTTATTTCTCCACATGCTGTGCCATTCACCAGCAGGATGTTGCCTAGCCAAACACAAGGATCAGTGTTCAACGGTCTCATCTTGCACCCCTTTTTATTAAAATGGTGCAAATTCTCATGCTTGGCCCGGTACAGAAGAGTTGACTGGTCTGTGCATGTCACACCTGGTTTGAGGTCGTAATGGATGATTGGTGGGCGGATCTCATTTAAGTACTTGAGGGCATTGACGACCTGCATTATGATGGATCGGGCCTCTTTCTCTGACATTAGCTTGTGCTGCTTCAGGTAGAAATCCAGATCGTTCCCCTCACAGTACTCCAGAACAGTGCAGAATCTAGAAACAATCCCACATAAAACAAGGCCTCTTTCATCTCTCCACTTTAAGGAGTGAAATAGTGAAATGTTGATTGCAAAACGGTCAAATTAACAAAACAAAATTAGTGAAAATGACTGAAAGCTTGAAATAGGCTTTTCAAAGGCTATTTTGTAAACTGTTCACATTTCAACAAGACAAGAGCAAGTTACTCACGAGTCGGTATCCAGGGAGAAGTAGTCATACAGTTTGACTATTCTAGGATGGTCCAACTCCTTATGGATCCTATATTCTCGACAGGCATGCCTATAAAGCATTTCATGACCAACAATCTTAATTCAACAAGCAGTTCAAAAAAATAGCACTGAATTAACTTTTCACTGACAGAAGACTTTAAATGGGTTTGAATAAAATAATGGATCATATGTAAATCTTCAAACATAATAAGAACAAGAATATAATTATATAAGGTCTGACCAATTTCGGTCAAAGTTCCTACATAAAGCTCACAAAATCAACCACAAGCCTTGAGCTATTGTCTGAAAGAAAAGGAAGAGTTGTTCTTATCAGAGCAAATTAATGTTAATTGTTAAAACAGCAGTCCTGACGACACCATTTAACTCTCCACCCAGTTCCTTTCAATCTGTAGTCAAACCCAGATATCAGGGGCCTCATGTATAAAAAGTGCAGAACAATTCAGGGTTTATAAAGGCAAAAACTGACGTGACAATATTAGGCGTACACCAAATGAAAAGCATTTTGCACTCGCAAATACCAGAGATTAATCCAATATTGTTTATTGAAATTTAAAGGTAAATAGACAATCCCAATTTGCATTAAAATGATCATGTGCGCAAATGAGCAAGTGCTCTGTCATAATTACGTCATTTAGATATTTTATAAACTGTTCACATAAATTACCGGCAGGGATTGTAGGTGGGGGGAGTGAATGTACAGCGCTCTCTCCCACCTTCAATACCACGACTGAGGTGCCCTTGAGCAAGGCACCGAACCCCCAACTGCTCCCCGGGCGCCGCAGCAAAAAAAATGGCTGCTCACTGCTCCGGGTGTGTGTTCACGGTGTGTGTGTGTTCACTGCTGTGTGTGTGCACTTTGGATGGGTTAAATGCAGAGCACTAATTCCAAGTATGGGTCACCATACTTGGCCACATGCCACTTAAATTGTAAAATCTTGGAAACTGACATAAATTTACAATAAGGATCATTATAAGCACCATCTTTATGAATGAGGCCCCAGATTTCCACAGTCTGGTTCAGGAAGAATAGTGCATTCTGGGAAACCAACCACAATTAAAATGTACATTAGCTTTTAAGAAACAAGGCTGGAAAAGGTGTTTGCGCTCACTTGTGATAGTTCTCTTTCTTCTCATCTCTCCAGTTCTTATTAAGCTGGTGAATCTTCACAGCCACGTACCTCTGCTCCGTCAAATCAAAGGCCTGGAGAAACAGAAAAGAACAGGAAGAAAAAGTCAGACTTGAAATAGCAGCAACAATTAATCTAGCAAATGCCTCAGAATGGTTGATTTTTGATTAGTGAAGATGACTAATTTATCTAATTTTCTTTCTTCTGTTTTCAGTTTATTAAGCTCCCTCCAGCTGATTTTGAAAAAGAATGCATCCCATGTGAACGTCCCATGATTTTACAGGTCTTGCAGTCAACCCACAGACTACTTGATTATGAAAATATGTAGATTTGTACATCCCTCAACCCAAACACGCATTCTTTCCGATCACAGATCTGTTACCTTGTAGACCTCACTGAAGCCTCCTCTACCCAGCAGATGCAAGAGCAGGTAACGGTCATTTAGCGTGGGATGATCTTTAAACCTGACAATCAGAGAGACAATTGCACGATAATTTAAATCCGCCATAGACATGTTTAAACTCTGAAAATTCTCAAAAGCGCTCAAAAAAATAAACTCTGTGCTGAAACCAAAATGGCACAAGTGTGGAAATGAACTTTGAAAGTGCATACTGGGAGTTATCTTCATTGTGGATTCTTTTGAGCTCTCGGATGTGAAGATTACGCACACGCTCCAACCGTTCCAGCTCTACTTGAATCTCTGCTTCCTCCTGACACACACACACAACACCAAAACATTAAGACTCGTCTCCATGACAACACAAATTTAACCACACCTGTAATATGAATGTGATGATATGAATACCTTCTTCAGGTGTCCAAGTCTCAGTTTGAAAATTTCTTCTTGCTCATGGTATTCTGCTAAAGATAACCTGTGAGGACATAAATTATGACAAAAGCCAATTAAGCGGAATTTCTTAAACAACTCTAAGCCTGACATGCCAGAAAAACTTACATCTCGTTCTCGGCGCCATTGCTCTTGCTCTTGCGTTTGTTGGGTTCTAGGTTGGGAGGAGGAGTCTGACTGGCATTGGGTGGTTTTTTCTTCATCAGCAGTTTCCTCTGCCTTTCTATGTCCTCTCTCTGCCCATTGACTTTCTCCTGTTGTCTATACAAAGACAAAGTCATTTTTATTTTACATAACACGTTTCCTACTTTTTCTTTTCATTTTGTTTCAAAGTTTTGTCATTCATAAAGTTCAACATTCTCTGTGCATGTTTGTTTTTTAAATACCTTAATACTTTCATATACCAATAAAGGCCCGTTCACACAAAGATGAATGTCTGGCAAGTTAAACACTTCTACTGGAATGAATGGGTAGCAGTGAACTACCATGAACAAACATTTGCACGCCGTAAATGCCACAGATTTTTATTTATTTATTTTTTTTAATGGCGAGGTGTTCCAATCTATTTTCCATCACACTGTGAATAAAGCTGGCCAACTAATAAGATTCATGCTTTTGTTCATGCCCAGAGCTGCCACTGCGGTTACATAAAACTATGACTTGGTGGTACTCATAAACAGAGCTAAGTGAAAAAAAAAGCAGAGGAAGGATCCGGAACAGGCTATCTTGTCTTTGCACTGCTGTTGGTGTTGTTTGATAAACACCACAGAGAATACAAATATCTGAACGACTGTATGAAAACATGTCAATTCTGTTTGACTGCCTTTCTTCTCTGCTATAAGCAGATGTCAGAACCGGAAAGTTGTGCAGTGATGTGTATCGGTGTATTTCTACTTTTCTATAAGCATCACAGATTGTCAGAGTGAAAAATTGCATTTTCATTCAGCCAGTCTGCTGATTTTTTTTTTTTTTAAATCACATGCGAAAATAATATAGAATTTTCATTCCAAAATCAGTGCAAAACATCTGGGGAAAAAGTAAATAAATATGGGGCTGGTGATAATCCAAACATACAAAAACAAATTACATAATATATATATATATAATTATGTTAAATATCACACACTAACATTTTTGCAATTTATGTAGATTTTTACTTCAGACATTTTTGTAAATGGTGATATAGAGCAATTTCACATAATAATGTTACTATTTAAAAATATTAAACTTTATATTAACTGCATTCACATTTATGCATTTAGCATTTAGCAATATGCTTTTATCCAATATATATATATCCAATATATATATATACACACACACACACGTATACACACACATATATATATATATATATATATATATAAGTTTAAAACAAACATTTAAAAAAACTATAAATTTTACCTAACATTTCTATTACTTTTTAAAAATTATTTGAACAGCCATGTATATTGTAGTAAAAAACTAAAATTTTAAATATAGTATTTTTTTTATCTGCTCAGTTTTTTTCTAGACAAAATCTAGACAAAACACAGGGGGCACTTTTTTCGTTAACTATAAGCATTTACTTTGATTCTGAAACTAATCTCTCCATCACACATTTCTGGTATTGAATGCACCATTCAACTGCATCCTGGAGGTCTTGTCAGGGGACTAGGCATAATTAATAGATAAGCATGTACAGTTACATTCATATGTTACTTGAGGTAGTCCTGAGGTAATTTACTCAATCGACTGTTTGCCAGCAGCAGAGCAAGTGCTGGCAGGTTTAGGTGGTCTATTGTAGTTGGCCTCAAGTGTGTGTATTTTGGTTTAAGAGGAGTGGTTTCACCTTCTTCTGTAAGGAAACATCACTTAACCTGGTTTTGAAGGGACAGTGTTTACCAAGTTGTTTTTTTAACACTTTAACACCATGTCAGCTTCCACTGCTATTTTCACAGTGAAAAAAGTTAAAATACAAAAAAAAAGGTACCCATGTAAGGTTTGTAAAATCTATTTTCCATTAAAAAAAAATCTTGTGTGTATTAGGGGTGGGAAGATTCCCTGATTCGCTCGGTGCATCGGCATAAAAAGTTAACGATGCGATGCATCGGTTTAAAAAGTGTGCATCGGCAACAAGTTGTCATTTATATTGCGATGCATCGTTTCTAACATATTTGCATCGGTAAAAAGCTATTCATTTGTATATAATTACTAGTGGATGCGCTATACTTTTATTATTTAGAAAGTGACCAATATTTTATATGTAGATTGATTTCTCTCTAAACGGTTTCTCAAGCACGTGCTCTCATCACCGCTGCTGCTGCGTGAATATGACGCATCACAACACCACAGAGATCAGAGAAAAACTGTGATTAAAGTCCAAAACCTGACTTGAAATAACCTAACAAATCAATCGGGGCTAAAGCGATTCCATTAACGACAAATTAAATTCACACAATCTCACTAATTTGAGCACGCTTATTCTTAAGCAGACCTTAACGTCGATCATGGATCAAATCAATCCCCCATCGCAAACAGCGAATATATCTGTGCCGTTTAATGCATTTGAGACGTTGTGTTTTCCTCAGTGCATAACTGACATGCCACAGGTATATTTTTTCTCTGTAAATGTTAGAAAGTCATGCAAACGTATCCATTTTGCTGTCAGGAGTGGGCAAGGCACGCGAGAGCAACGAGCGCATCTGTGCGCTAAACAGACTGAGCACAATCGAATAAGAGGGCAATAATTCTGAGTAAAATATATATTTTAAACCTACATATAAAGTGTATTTTTTATGACAACAGTAATTGTAATAGGTAAATCAAATATAAGCTAGTAGGCTACAGTAATTACTAAGCTCAAATGAGTTAATGTGGGTTTTTATAGCAGTTAAAATGTAGTCATTTTCTTTATTATTTTCATTTTTAATTAAGTGATTTTAACTTTTAATTTAGTTATTTTAATGCTTTACAGAGCAATTTTAGATTGTAAAGTTCTAATGTTCTGCAAACTATAAAATGTATAGCTGTCATAAAACCAGAGAGAAAAGGCTGCATTGCTAGAAACTGTAAAAAAAAAAAAATAAGAAAGAAAAAAAGTAGTCAAGTAATAGTATGAGACAGTGGTAATATCATTATGTTCCTATTGGTTAGTAAAGGAGCTCAGCTTAGCCTGACAGTTAGCCTGCTTTAGACCAGGTTAGTTTCCCAGCATAAGTTGCCACAGTAACTAAGCTTGATCTAGGCCCATGTTAAATTTGCTTTATGGAACCAAATCATTTGACAATGAGTCAGACTTAATGAAATAAACCTGGCTTATTTGGTTAACTTGTTTTATGAAACAGGCCTCGAGGCATTAAAAAAGTGATCATATTTTCTCCATTGCATCCCACTGCATTGAATCGCATTGTTTTGAATCGAAATCGGATCACACTGCATCGTAATAGCGGTAAATCGTATCTCATCGGTAGCTGCTTCATATGGATCTTTAATGTATCGTAGGGTATGCATCGAGATGCACATCCCTTGTGTGTATCAAGTCCATGTTAGAAGGCTCTGAAGGTCGGAGCGCATGTGAGCACCAAGCACGATGCTGAAAGCAGCACATTCATTCATCATCAGACCTGAAAACAGTCCTGAATGAGCTTTTAATGACTAGCTCTCCACACGCACATGAGTGGAGGGAAACTGACCATATTCTCTCAGCACGTGTGAAGTGTGAGTGTATGCGACATCTGACTAGGCTCTGAAGTTTGAGAGGAGTGTGCATGTGCAACTCACGTACTTTACTAGATTCTGAAAAGCGTAGCCATCTGTCCACTGCTCGGTAAATGAGGCTCCATGCCGTACAGTGGTGAAATGGCCCAGACGTAGCCGGTCCTGCATGCTCTTTTCTCTGCATGCAATCTTCTCCTGCTTGGACTGAAAACATTCCCACAATTCAGCAATTACAGAGAACACTACCATGGACATGCAATGCACTGTTTAAACTGGATAAAAACTACACAACCATCATATAAACGTAAAATATACATACAGAACACCACCACACATTAACCATTGCATATACTCTGAACATACGTTTACCTTTTCAATAAGAAGTTTCTTACTCATGGTAACACATTTATTGAGTCGTTCTTTACATCGTTCCAACATCTTCTGCTGCTCATCGATCTGTCTGCGCAGGTCACAGTTTACCTGCAGCACACAAAAGCCCCAACATAAGCACTGTATTCTCAGCAGTGTAAAACCTGATAGGTCTTATAAACCATATCTCATTCATGTAAAACATTTGATTGACTCTATGTGAAAAAAATTCATATTACAGTCACAGCTTTGGGCATCAAAGTTTAGAGGTAGGAATTTATTTATTTAAATTTTTTTTTTATGTTCATGAACGAGGTTTCTTATGATCAGCATGTCTGCAGTCTTTAGTGTCACACGAGCCTTCAGAAATCATTCTAATATGTTGATTTGCCACTCAAGAAACATTTCTTATTATTATGAATACTGAAAACAGTTCTACTGCTTTGGAAACCATGATAATGCTTAATTGAATAGAAAGTTCAAAAGAACGGCATTTACTTGAACTTTTGATCAGAAGTGTAAACTGAACAGCACCGCTCCGTGTGTGAACAAAGTCGTACCCTAAGCAAATCGTCAATACGTCCCTCTTTCTTCTCCAGATCCGAGCTCTTACTGCTCTCCAGCGCCGCTAACTTCTCCATTGTCAACTCCGACTGAGAAAGAGCAAACAAAGGTGGATCTGAAAGTGAGGATCTGAAAGTGTCTGCGAAGGGGAGTGTGTTTTTGGTAGTGTGTTACCTGTGTGGCTCGGTGCTGAGTGTGTGTAGAAGCTGGCTTGTGGGAACAGGAGGAGTGGGAGTGGTCTGTGTTTACTGAGCCGATGGAGGAGGGGCTTCCTTGCTGCACCTGTCAATCAAAACCAAAAACAGATTTCCATCAACACAAAATGCAACCAAAAAGGGTCACTGTTAATGAGAGCGCCACTCTGCACTACTCTATAATCATGTTTTTTTAATAATAATAATTACTGCTACTATGACAGTATACGAATACAAATATAATTATAACTTCTGTGATTATAATGCTTGTACTGAACTGCTTATACACAGCAATCACTTGTCATCTTACTCCAAAGCATCAGCTACAGCATGTACAATTAGCAATGTACACTATATTTATCCTTGACCTCTGATCATCCCTAAAATTTCATTTTTTTTTTTTTTAAGATTATCTTTAGTTTTTATTGTTGTGGAGTGTTGTTCACTGTTGTTTTCATTGTCCATATGCAAGTTGAATGTTTTGGTCTAATGTACATGAATATATGGCTGAAATTACATAACATCAATGGTTCACCCAAAAATGAAAATTCTGTCATCATTTACTCATCCTCATGTCGTTCCAAACACATGAGACTTAGTTTAATCTTTGAAACCTGAGAGGTTTCTGTCCCTCCATGGAAAGTCCAGGTCACCAAAACTTCATAAAGGTGTCGTAGAACTAATCCATATGAATAGAGCGATTCAATAGAAGTCTTGTCAAGAGATATGATCACTTTATGCACGCCTCATGAACAGATTTAATTTTAGTCTTTTATTTACATCTAAACAATGATTGACATACACATCACATATTGTGAACACGGAAGCTCAAACATATGTTTCTGTGTTTACCATATGTGTTTATTTGTAAGTAAACAAAGCAATCATATCTCTTCACAAGACCTGGATTAAACCACTCAATTCATATGGACCCATTTAACAACACCTTTATGACATTTCAAGTTTTGGTTACCTGGACTTTCAATGGAGGGACAGAAAGCTCTTAGGTTTCATTAAAAATATCTTAATTTGGGTAACACTTTATAATAACTTTCATTTATAAATCATTAACATGCATTATATAATGCTAAAGTGGAAACTATTCATCATTTGCAAATGTTTATAAATGTTTACTAATCATTAGTATCTTTATGAGCAGTCATCTCAATGGCAAAAAGTGTCCAGAAAGACCTGAATTTAACAACAAGGTTTGTGTGAAGGGTGACTGGTTAAGTTTAGCTAAATGCTTGCTAAAGACATAACAGATTGTAATTTTGGTGCACTCAAAACTCACATTAGTATACTACCCTTCAGTATATCATTAAACAGGATAACTATTCCTTGAATCATAAATAAATAGGAGAAAACAAAAATTTTTTTTTTTTAAAGAAAAGCAAGTGTTGTGCATTAACAAAAGCTTTAAATCGTTGTATAACATCTGTTAAAATCATTTGTAGATTTTCAATAAGTGCTTGATCATTTGAATTGAAAGTTTAATGACATTTGTAAGCATTCTAACTTACATGAAATAATGATTATCTAATGTTTAATAAGTTTATTAGCAAACATCAAGCAGCACATTCTCTCAAGTTTCTAACTCTCTGAATATATATATAAACTAATGATCCATTAAGCATTCTATAATGTTTGTTAATGATTTATTAATGAAAGTTATTTTAAAGTGTTACCTTAATTGGTGTTTAGAAGATAAACCAAGGTCTGATGGGTTTGGAACAACATGACAGTGAGTATATGACACAATTTGGGTGAACTATCCTTTCAATAGTTACATGACAGTGAGTATATGACACAATTTGGGTGAACTATCCTTTCAATAGTTATATCAACAAGAGCAAACAAGAGGTTTGGCAGTAAGAAAGAGACTCACGGCAGCAGGAGGGTTTGAGAGAGAGTGCTGTGGAGAGGACCGTGCCACTGGAGGAATGCCACGCGCTGGACTGGTACCACTACCACTACCCCCTGCAAACTGTGCACAAACAAATTATTTAAACTTTAGAAGTTAAATCAGAGAAAATGAGCATGAAAACAAAACTTCAACCATAATGGGGATCAAATGGTTAGTAATAACCAAATGAATGAACTACATGCGCCTACCTCAAAATAATCACTAATTTTGTGTCCTCTCCCTCCTCCTTTGCCTAGGGGGGGGGGAATTTTTTTTATAAGTCATTATAAGAAACAACACTCTAAAAGATGTAACATCCACTTGCTATGAGAATCAGTGCATTCAGCATCAATCACATCAACAGCATTACTCAAACTCACCCTGGTTGTCAAAAGGGTCTCCTTTCCTTTTACGTGTTCTCTGGTCATTAGATTTCTTCTCTGGGGTCTGAGTAGGAAGAGAGAGGGAGGGATAGAAAGAGAAAGTGAGACAGAATTTGTAAGCTGCCAGGCGAATGCAAGAATCCATAACATCACCTCATTCATTCCAGAAGTTTCCATTGAAATGTGAGAGGCTACAAGCTCATACAACCTGAAAGACTGGACATCAACATCCAACTACAGCAGAGACACAACAATCTCTGCATGTCTGCCTGTTTTTAAATAAGCTGCATCTGTTTGCAATGTCTAGTAATGCTGTTTCTAAACAACATGGTTTAGTGTTCTTCATATTCTTTTTCATTAGGTCTAAAAATTAAAAGGACTTTTCATAACTGTCATTTACACCAAGGACGACATCTACATGGTTTAAATAATCTAATTCTAATTAGGGCTGAACGATTGATTGCATTTAAAAAAAATGTAATGCAAAATTTAGATTTTTCAATCGCAGAGGCTGCGATTACACGGTCACGTGAGAGTAAAGATGTGTGTTCGACTTGAAGATCAGATCGGTGTATGACATCAAAGTAGGGCGAGCGAGAGAAAGCATAAGGAGATGTCCGCGCTCTCTTATAGCTCTCGTAGTACTTTGATGACACACCCATCGGTCTAAGCAGCGCAGCTTCAAGTCGAGCGCGGGCCATCAGCAGAAAAAGAAAAGAAATAAGTAAACAGCCAAAGGACGTAACTTAGAATGGGAGATGGATCGGTCTAGTAATGCTGTTTCTAAACAACATGGTTTAGTGTTCTTCATATTCTTTTTCATTAGGTCTAAAAATTAAAAGGACTTTTCATAACTGTCATTTACACCAAGGACGACATCTACATGGTTTAAATCTAATTCTAATTAGGGCTGAACGATTGATTGCATTTACGATAATATCGCGATATGAAAAATGTAGATTTTTCAATCGCAGAGGCTGCGATTACACGGTCACGTGAGAGTAAAGATGTGTGTTCGACTTGAAGATCAGATCGGTGTATGACATCAAAGTAGGGCGAGCGAGAGAAAGCATAAGGAGATGTC